GAGCAGGTTGCTCAAAGCCCCTGGGTGTAAGTCAGAAATGGGCTCAGTATGTTGATGACACCTTTTCTCTTGACTCTTTCCCAACAACTGGACAGGTTGATGTAGTTTCCTCATCACAAAATATTCCGTATTTTAACTCAGCACCCTCCCAGTGGGATGAGGACAGCGGAGAGAAGAAACAGACGCTTACATGTTGGTACATACTTGCTTCAACGCAAGATTTAGTTGGCTGCAGAGAAGCATTCAGCAGGCAAACCGACAGCTCAGGAAAAAATGGTCCTTGCAAAGGTTATTCCTATGGTCATTCTGTCCAGCATATGGACATGGCCATGGCTAGCACCTGCAGGACAAGGTGCCTTTCTCTTTTTCTTCCTCCAGCATAATGCATCCATGTCAGAAAATGGGGTTTGGATCCATTACTGAAGAGAGATACTGGTTACAGCGTGCCTTTCTTCTGCATCTCTCTCTATGCATCCAGTTTCACTTCTTTATCTAAGTCTTTTTTTCTCTCTCTGTTCTACATTTGCTTATTCTTCTCATCCATTTCTTCCTCCACTAAAATTAAGCATATTTTCAAAGTTAACTCTTTTCTGTTTCAGTCAATATATGCTAATTGTTAAAAAGAGTTAAGCAGTATAATGGGACCTTTTCTGTGTTTGTTTTTATCAGAAAATGTTCAAACAAAACATACTGGATAAGAGGAAACTTATGCCATTAGCATTATTGGAGACCTCTTGAAGAAACGTCACATCCTCCAACAAAAGCACTGACCTGATCTAAACACAGACACATGTTTGTATGGCTCCAGGAAGGATTTATATTTGGAAGAGTGGAGGGGAGAGTAATTTTTCCTATTTATCTAGGAACCTGAAAATAGCCTGAATTAAAGCATGGCTTCTAATTGTTTTTAGCAACAGTTTTTCATCTTTGTGACAAATTCTTTTTCATCACCGTTCTCATTCTACATCAATCTGTATCTCTGAATGAGGTTTCATACATACATTAGTAACATCCTTCAACAGAACTGCATGACCATCATCATTATGCTGACTGCCTTGAAATCTTCTTTGAAGGCTAGTGGCCTATTTTTTTTTACCCTTTCAGCTTTCTCTTCTCATCAATACAAACACTTCATAATTTTGATTTATTTTGATTCATTTTACAACCAGACATTAAATGAAGCTGGTGTGTTTCAGTATCAGTTGTATTTCAAAAGAGAAAATGCTGGCTGTGCAAAAAGCCCTAGCTCATCTGTGTCAGTGGCATTTCAGGAGAAGGTCCACCCTGACCCGCCACATGGGTTTCCCAAGCAGCAGGGGTTGCACTGGTACCATGAAAGGTTCCTGTCTTGCACTCTGGGCTCAATTCCTGCTGATGACAAGAAGAAATCTTAAAGTTTTAGCCTTTTCTCATTAACTTAGGCCCATGTGGGGAAGTTCCACACACTGCTACAGGAACTCTTTTGCCTTTGCGTGAATCAGAAATGCAAATCCTCAGCTCTTTTTCAAAAATACACTGTTTTAGTAAGGATTTTGCATGTGTGCGTGCATGGAGACAGTAAGATATTTGGGGTGCTGCTTTTTTTTGATGTAAATTACCTGTCAGTGGTGTCCTAGAGTTACTTATAATCTGTCTGCTCAAAATGCTTCCAGTTTGTGAGTTCCCTACTCTGCCTGTTCACATGTTGGGTGAAAATCAAGATGCTTGATTTAAAATCGACCTCTACAGAGTTTTAATGCCAAATAGCAACATAAAGAGATAGAAGCATCTAGTGATGGGTGCTTCATCCTCAAGCAAGAAAACTATTATGCCTTAAATGTAATATTCTTAACTGTGCATGGCAAAGGAACAGGGCTTCTCTGACAACGCGGTTACAGTCTAATGTTTGGGTCACAGAGATCCAGGGGTCTTTTCCAAAATGGAGGAAGCAAAACTATTCTTTTGAAAGCCATTCATTCCAAATGGAATAAGAAAGACCTCTTCCAGTTTCTCCTTCCTCTCTGCAACCTCTTCTTGTAATGATGAAAACAACAGCCCCGTTGGGCTCCCTGCCTCCCAGGTCCTCAGTGCTAACTGCATCATGGTGACTCAGATTGCACAGAAAACAGACCTTCTGGTCCCTCATCCCCACCTCATCCCTTCTGTGATCTTCAGTGGTATTTAATGAACAGGAAGCCAAAATGTACTGTGGGCTGGGGCAGGAGCTCTGGTGCTTTTGCTCAGTGCCATTTAGTCCAAGAGATCACCCATGGAGTGAGTCTCTCAGACAAGCAGGACATTGATGTGTTCTGCCCAGGAGTTTGCACATTGCCTCACTTGCTCCAGAGGGAGTGCCACTGCTCAGACGAACAATTTGGTTTTGCTGGTATATAAAGCCATTTCCAGTCACCATTTTGAGGCTTAATGAAAGGAAATCTCATTGACCTGGAACCAAGACAGGCTCAGAGGGGACTAAAACTGTTCCCAGCTTCCTGTCCTTGAAGCCTCCAGTTTATTTTCTGGCATCAGGCTGTGAATTATACTTCACACAACTAAGCAGCAAGTTCCAGATCATAATGCGCTGCACATATTTGGCATGTGCCCAGCCTGTAGTGCATTCAGGTCAAGGATCGTGGAATCAGCTTGCTTACTCTCACTGGGATTTGCTGGTTAAGTATGCTGCCATCCACAATCATTTAATATTTTAAATATCCTGACATAATCTCACATCCTTTTACTCCTCCCTCCTTGTAAATAAGAGAAAAAAAGTAGTCTTTGAAGCACTTTTGAAGGAAAAATGGCAAGAGATGAACATGGAATGAGTATGTGAAACAGCCACTTGTCCCTAAAACCTGAGATACTTTTGGCACTGTGGGACAAACTGTAGGATGTAAGTCTAATCAGTTGTTCCTTGACATCAAACAAGTAAGTAGAAAAGCTGGTCCCTCGAAAGTCAACAAGAACAACCCCCCAGTGCTGCCCCTTGCTGAAGGAATGGTGGATGGAAGGAAGGAAAGGCATGATTTGGAATCCTTTCCTTTACTCCATTACTCAGTACCTTCAACTATGAAGTTGTGAGGCCTATTTACTCTTTTTAGTACATTTTAGTTTCATTCTACAGTTTTGTACCTACAAATGTAATTAGTTGCAGGAACCTAAAACAATTTTGCTCAGTTACATCTTCTTCCACTACGCTTCCACAGCTCAGCTACATGCTATGCCCTGGTTTACACTGAAAGGCAATTGCTACCTTTGTATTTTTGATCACTTCTTTCAAACTTTGCTAAATTTGGTGCATGCTTCTGATTAGTGTCTATAAACCAATGGGATCTAATCCTACAGGTTCAGATTTACATCTGGAAATCTCTGTACCTGGGTTATTTTAAAGTCAAAAGGGAGCCTAGAGTGGGACATGCTGAGAGTACAAGTAGTTCATATAATGTTGTTTTAATGTTTCCTGAATTAATTTTCCTGTCTTTTTTTTTTGTTATGTTCTGTAAGATCTCACTGTGATAGCTAAGATCAGATGGTATAAAGCCATGAATTCTGAAGAAAATGAGACTTGTTTTATGCAACTCATCACTTAAATCTCCCTTAAATGCTACATGCAGTGCCAGAAGAAGGGAAGGTGGAAAATGTGACTGGTAAAAGGATTTCTGGGCTCACCCAAATCAATGTTTGACATCTGTGCCAGGCAACTTACTGGGAACTATAATAAAGAATAGAATTAGTAAACTGAATACATATTGGAGAAGAATCAGCATTATGTATCAAGTAGGATGCCATGTTTTGCAAGCCCATTACAGTTTCAAGAAGCAGTCTTTTTTCTTGTTTCTTTTTTTTTTTTTTTTAATATAGATAAGATGGTTCTGATAATATGACATACCTGGATTTCAGAAAGCTTCTTGACCTCGTCTTTCACCCTCAGTTCTCAAAGTGTATCCATGGGGAATGAAAGGAAAAGGATAAAACAAATGTCTAAAAGAAACTCATCACCAGAGCACACAATAAAGCTCTTCCCAGAACCCACAAAAATTTCTGCTGTTCAACATCTTCAGAAATCTTAAGGAGAAGTTGAATACCGTGAGAACAGTTGTAAGATAATACAAAATCTGTATGAACAGCCAAATCCGAAACTGGCAATTGAGCATTTCAGAAGACTTTTAGGAAAAATAAATACTTTTCTGTTGGCTTAGTGAGCTAAATTGACTTGATTCTTATGCCATTAAAGCTTTCTTGACAAATGTATAGAGTTGGTGTTACTGGAGTTACCTATCACACCCACCACAGGGCATTACAGATAACAGGGGTAGCAATGGACAACCTACATGCAGCTCTGACCATACACGGCTGGGTAACAGCTAACAGGGTTTCCACATTGGACGTGTCCTGATGTGTACACATGGACAAGGGATGGTAAAGGATGGCTTGCAACATATTAGTGTAAACTACATCCATATCTTTCCAGAGGATTTTACCCTAAAATACTGGAGTAAACTGAAAATTTAGTTGTGAAAAATATATGTATTGGGGTGTGGGGAGAATCACTGAATGGTTTGGACTGGAAGGGATCTTAAAGATCACCTAGTTCCAATCCCCCTGCCACAAGGAGAGACACCTTCCACTAGACCAGGTTGCTCAAAACCCCATCCTGGGGGGCTTTCCAGGGATAGGGCAGACACAACTTCTCTGGGCAACCTGTGTCAGTGTCTCACCACCCTCATAGCAAAGAATTTCTTCTTAATGTCTAATCTGAGTCTCCCCTCTGTCAGTTTAAAGCCGTTCCTCCTTGTCCTGTCACTACATGACCTTGCAAAAAGTCCCTCTCCAGATTTCTTGTAGGTCCCCTTTAAGTACTGGAAGGCTGCTCTAAGGTCTCCCCGGAGCCTTCTCGTCTCCAGGATGAACAACCCCAACTCTCTCAGCCTGACCCAAGCTTCTCCCGTAAGGCAGCACTGGGTTGGGTTTAGTACCAGCTATCTCCCTCTGTAGCGAGCAGCCCGGCAGTACGGGAGCCAGCCGCCTTCCCGCCAGCTCCCTGGGGCTGGCCGCCCGCCCATCAGCCCCGCTGCTCCCATTCCGCCCCGCAGCTCAGCACGGCCTTTCCCGGGGGCCGGGCAGGTACGCGGGGCCGCGCTTCCCCGCTGCGAGGTGTGTCCCTGGGTGGCGGTGACTTGGCGAGCGATTGGGTAGGACGGGCGAGCGGCTCCCCGGCTCCCCTGCTGGGCTCCCCGGCGCCGCGCTCCCGCAGTAGCAGCGCGCTCCCCAGCCGCGCCGCCGCCCGCCCGCCCCGCTCGGCTCCGCTCCGATCCTCCAGCGCCCGGCCCTGCCCGGCTCGGCTCGGCTCGGCCCGGCCCCAGCCGCCGCCGCACCATGCCGCATCCCTCGGCGCCCCTCGGGGCCGCCCTGCTGCTCGTCCTGCTGGCGGCGGACTCCTCGCAGAGTGAGTACCGCGGAAGGGGGTGGGAACCGTCCCTGCGGCACACGCCGCATCCCGAGCATCCCCCACCGCCGTGTGTGTGTGTGAGAGCGGGCTGGGGAGGTGCTGGGGCTGCGGTGTGTGTGTTGAGGGGGGCATGAACAGCTTCACGGGTGCGGCGAACAGGAAGGCGGTGGCGGTAGCAGCAGGGAATGCCGGTGCCGCGGCGGGGTCGCCAGTGTGAGGGGCCGGAGTGACACCGCAGCGACCCCCGGGCGGGAGGGGGGTGTGCTTGCTGCCCGCGGCGGAGCGGTTTGGTGTGCTGGGACGGGAGTAACTGGGCGGCTCGGCAGGCTCAGCTGATTACCGCTGCCTCTCCTTCCTCCTGCTCCTCTCCTCCTCTTCGTCCTCCTCGTCCTCCGTACACCCGCGGCGACCGGCGGCCCAGACGTGCTGCTGCGCGCCCCGGAGGCTGCCCAGTTCCTGAGACAGAGGCATCGGCGAGCCTACCAGATCTTCGAGGAGACCAAGCAAGGGCACCTGGAGAGGGAGTGCGTGGAGGAGCACTGCAGCAAAGAGGAGGCCCGGGAAGTGTTTGAGAACGACCCCGAGACGGTAAGGACGCAAAGCCGCCGCGAAGATTGGGGTGGCCTGTCCGCTCTGCCCTCCCTCCCACCATCAATCCTTCCATCCCTCCATCACTCCATCCTTCCATGCCTCCATCCATCTGTGGCTGCGTGCCAGCTGCCTGCACAGCTGGTGAAGCCATTGGGAGGAGCAGGAGGAGGAGGAAAAGGAGGAGATGGAGGAACTGGAACCATTAGGTGAATGACTGGAAGTCACCCAGCATAACTAGCACCCAGACTGTGCAAGGGCTGTATCAGTTCTGTCTGGTTAGGGTTAAAAATGCTTCCATGAGGATGGTCTGGGTGAGCAGCCCAGCCTGGCACCTGCTGTATGACTGCTCTCTCCAGAGAGTGGAAGGTCCCTGTTCACCCAAGGTGTGAATCCACGTAGCAAGACCGGTGCAACATAATGCTGTGCCTTCTCTGTCTGGACACCTTACCATCCCTGTTTCCTTAAGCCTCCTGTCTCAGCTGTATTTAAAATCCCCTTAATGTTGTGGCATATGTCAGTATAGGGGTTTCTCAGAAGAAGTATGTCATAAACACACTGTAATCCTTTTGGGCCATATTCAGCTTGGTCAGCATTTTGGAATCAGTAGGTTCATGACATACCACTGCAACAGCAGGAGAGCACATGTACGAGAACGTGGTGTTGCTGCATATCTAACACTAAGAGTGAATTCACATTTACAGTGTGCCGACTTTCACTTCAGTCTCCTTTTCACTTCAGGCAGCATGCGGTTGCGTTTGTGTTGCTTAATTAACCTTGGCTTACTCTTCCAATTATTTTACACCTCCTCTCTATGCTGTTTTGGATAGGCTGTTCTCGTTACAGAGATTATTTGGCATTGATTTAGCAGTGGGAAGTGGATTTTCTTGGTGTTCAGACCGAAGCTTGGTATTGCACAGCATGTTCCTATTAACAGTATGATGCTCTAGGGAGAAGATAGGACAGAGTTTGTGAGTGTGTGTATACACAGAGACACACCACAGGCAAGGGAGGAACTGAGGAGATGTTTTATTCTTCAGTCAGACGAGTCTTGACATGTGTGCTTCATTAGCAGGCTCAGTGCTGGGTATACAGAGCAGTAGCTTGCTGTCACAAGGCAGTAGTAAATACAGCAAAAACACTGTGATGCTGCCTTTTGTTTTTGTCAATCTTTAATTTAGAGCTTAATCCAGAGCACTTGCCCAGGCAATGTTTAATGGTACACCTCTTATGTGGACATGTGCATCTGCATGCATCAGTGTTTGCTTTTGTCCTCTAAAACTGAGCTAATATATGAGTATGGGTAATTGTAATTTGGCGAGAATAGCTGGCACAGCAATTTCCATATTCATGTTCAATAACATAAGTTTAAGCTCAGTATAAACATTCACCATATAGTAGTGAATGCAGGAAAAAATACCCCAAATATGGTTTTGTATTAGTCTGGAAAAAAGGTGATCTGAGGTCTCTGGTTTTGTAAACAGGCTTCTGGCCATGAAAGCAGCTAAAGTCAATGCATGGATAGATCACTTCAGAGGGTGGTAGACTCTGTAAATGTGTCAGGAGTCTTTAGCAATATTCAGTACTTATTTTGTATATTGGAAAAAATATATAGCTCTCCTACTGTAATGCAAGCAGTGAAATCACTTTGGTTTACATTTTTTTAACGTGTAATATAAATTGTCTAAGAAGATCCAGTCATGCTTTTAAGTGTGCTTTGCAGGGCAATGCAAATAATTTTGATTTTTTTGGGTGCATTTGTTTTATTACTACTGCTAGGTCTCTCTCTAGTTCTGAAGACCTCTGAAGAAATATCACTAAGGCTAGATGAGCTTCTAGTGTCTGTGCCCCTTGCTTATTTTACATGCGCTTCTACACCAAAGTACTGTATTTTATAACACTTCTAGGTCTGCAGTGACATAAGAGCCTACCTTTTCTGAGACACAAACCTCCCAAGAGCTGTGAACATGCTTGTTACGTGCAGTATGTGGTACTCCTTGCTGTTACTTTGCTTCAATTTGACTGGGAAGCAAGCATGCCGCCTATCAGGGGGTTTTGCAGCCCTTCCTATCCATTCTTCAATCAGTATGCGGAATGAAGGCAGCAGGTGATGTTCAGTAGCAGTTTTCTAATACACGGTGGCAGAGTTCACGTATGCAGGCTGTTATCAGTCTACACACTGGAAGCCTTCAGTGCTTTGTAAGGCTTAGGTGACTGCTCCTCTGTCAGTATCTGTGGATTTGAGTATTAATGCACGCCTGAGGTAATGGAAGTGTTTCTTAAATGCTAGGAAGATACCATGCTGTCATTTCACTGATGCCATATGGGATGCAACCAGGATGTTGTATCCTGGTGACTGACAGAAGAAGAAAACTAGCTGAGAAAGACTTGACTAAGGAAAGATGAAAACTGTTGATAAACAATGCCTTGCAGTTTGAGGAATTACAGTTACTGCGGTCACACTTAAGCACGTTGTCAGGCTGCAGCTGGTCCATGCTGGTAAAGAGAGGAGTTCTTGACCAAGAGTGATTCCATGTAGTTTAGTAAGGCTGAAACTTTTGTTTCTGCCTGCTGAACCTGGTCACATGGAGTAAGTACTTAGGTCATAGCAGAAACAGCTTCAGCTACTTTTTGCACTGCACTGAGCCCTGTGGATAACCTTGTAGTAGGAAAGCTATGAGGAACACATCAGTGCACTGCTTATCTGTGCTGCTATATCTCCCAGCTTTTATGCTTTAAAGCATAAAGGGAGCGTGAATGTAGGCATTTGGCTGGTTTTTGTCCCATGGAAGCAATGGTCTTTCAGCCTTGACAACTGAATTTGAGATTCATTAATAGCTTGTTGTTTCTCTGACCTGAAGAAAGCCTTGCCATATGAGCACAAGTATTTTTTCTCTTCCCTATCCCTCCATTAGGTGATCTAATGTAAAGGAAACGTATGAGTCTTCCTTAAAAATCTTGCCATTCTTAACTCTCCTATGGTCGTGTGAAGAGAATTTGCAGGCCTAATTTCAAGACCTGTAACTTAAAGATGCGATAGGAAACTGCATTAACTGATTCAATCAGATGAAGAAAGGCTGTAGTGTAGCTTGTGGTGCATATATATATATGTATACACACACATATATATATTATGTATATCTCATAATGCCCTTTTTGCATGCCTTCCGTTGTTTCAGTGATCAGCTTTCCAAAGCAACATCTGCAGGCAGTCAGCAGGAGATACACATTCTCTGAAACCTGAATGTGGGTGTTGCCACATGTGTGATTACTTACATCAACTGCTAAGAATAGTGTATTAGGCAGGGCTAAATAGTCATTCATTTGCAGGCCAGTGCAGCTTTTGTCTTTTATGTTACGGAAAATATAAATATCAGCTCACCCAGACTGGAGGAAGGAAGATCAATTGAAACATTTTTAGATTGTTTTCTTTTTTTTTAGGGGGCAGAACAAAACTCAGTCTGAGCCATTTGTATGACTATACATGGTAAAAACAAGTGTGAGCCTGGGTTAATGACTCCTGCAGCCTATCTATCTTTTTCATGAAGTTGATTATAACATCCTTAGATATTACAGCAGAATTCTGGGATGGTTCCTGTTTTGCTAGGTTGAGGTACCAAACAGAAACATGGAAAAATAATACGCTGTGAAAAAATAAGGATGGAAAACATGTTCATGGGAGGTATGAGGACCGTTTCTAAATGTGATTTATTATAAAGATATGCTAGGTGTGATAGATGAGATGAAGTTGCAAAATATCTTTGCGATAGAGATAAGAATGTTATCTTACTTGAAATGTTGATGGGGCCTTATAAAAAACAGTACTGCAGAAATATTTAACCTTGGTATGCAGTCAAGGTATTACAGCTTATTAACAGACTGATAAACTGCCCTGGAATTTCACTGACCTCTTCTAAAAATGTGGTCATCCAAGGGGCAGAAGGGAGAGTAGTTAATGGTGTTCTTGGAAACGCTGATTTCACTGAAGAGTAAATACAGCAAAATGTGCAAGCAGTTTCTCTGTTTTGAAAGGCTCAGCATAGGGAATGCACTCAAATGCAGCCTCTTGTAATTTGGTATCACAGTATTATCAGTACAGCATTTGTCACTGCACATCTTGCTTGTTGTTGTTATTGTTGAAAAATTACTGGTCTTCCTGCAGGTCACCATTGGATTTGCCATGCTGAATGCTTTGAAAGGTGTTAGGCCCACCAGAAAAATCTGATGTAGTTCAGCCTGGCTGCCTGTGTTTGCTGTTTATGGATTTGTCCCTCAGTAGAGTACCTTGGAGAGCTAGCTGGTTTTCATATGCATGCAGAATAAACATTTGATTGACAGGCAGGGACATGAAAAGTTCTCATGCTTCTCGAGGGACTTGCATCCAAACTGCTGTTAAAATCTATGGCTCTATGTAAAATACTGGCAGAGAATCACAGAGTAACTTTAAGGGGATTGAAGAGGTCTCCAGTCCACCCATCTAGTCCAGTTTCCCACTTAGTGGCAAGAGCAGCAGTGAGACCAGACAAGGCTTTTCAGGGTTTTTTGCAGTCATGTCTTGAAAATTACTGATCCTAACAAAGCATCCAGCAGCGTCAGCATTCTTTCTGCTAAGCTGGGTTAGGGACAAGCCGAAATGCAGAGGAAACAATGTACAGGGTGTGATAATGGCCAGTTTGGTTGGCTTTCATAATGTTAGTGGTTCATTGGTTTTATTTCTTTATTTGTTCCACTATGTGACAGGGTCATGATAACACAAGATGTGCTGCATGCATAGACTAGAGTCATCCAAACTTTGATCATTTAGGAGGGGTGCTTGGCAGACAATATTTAGGTCTTATTCCTAAGAATAGCAAGGTAAATACACACTTGTAAATACTAATGAGAAAAGTATGAAGGCATGTAGGGGGAGGAGAGTAGTTGCCGGGAATGTTGAGGAGTGTAAAATTTCTCGGACTAATTTAGTGAGTGTTGTGTAGTCTAGACATGAAAAATACTGATAC